CTGAACAGGTTCACGACAAGGCCGCGCTCCACGAGGATGGCAGCGCACGAACCCCCGTAACACACCAGCGTCGACCGCGTCATGACAAACCGCGTCGACAGTAGCCGGACGCCGTCCAGAACAAGCGCGGGGCCGTACCGGTATCCCGTAAGGCCAGGAGTTATCGACACGTACTGCGACCCGCCAACCGTCGCGCGCAGCGTTGAGTTCGCCAGCAGCACACTCGAGTTCGGCGGCATCGCGCCATGCAGCACGATCGTGCCCTCCAGCGACGTCACATTCGTCATGTTGACGAGGGCGTGCGGCATCGGACGCGCCGTGCTATCGCTGAGGCCACCAATCCGCAGCTGCGCACCGCCCGCAAGCACGCAGTGGCGCAGCGTCACGTTCAGAGCGTCAGCGAACGCGTCCATCGAGCGCAGGTCCACCGCCACAGTGATTGGGCCGCTGAACAACACCGAGTCGAAGCACGCCGTCGCACGCCCGCCGCCAACCGTCACCGACTCCGTCAGCGTCACGCCACTCACGCAGCCCTCCGCGCCGCCACCACCGCCACCGGACCCCGCAGGCGGCACGTCGAACGGCAGGCATGCCTCGCCCAGACCGCCGGCACGGCAGCCGCACGCGCAGTCAGAGAACGAAGCCGTCAGCGCATCGAAGCATGCCAGCGCTGCCGCACAGCCGTCGCACGGCACCACGCTCACGGAAAACATGCCGGCCGAACGGTAGTCGTCGCTGCTCTGCAGCACCCGGCCGCCGGCACGGTTGCACTGCACCGACACGGCCCCGCTCGTGATCGTCAGCCCGGAGACAAGCGTCGCGCCAGCGGCAGCGCAGCGCGCAATCGACACGGCACCGCCGCTCAGCGTCACCCCCGACAGCGACGCCACCGACGACGCCTCGCCCACCGCCCACACGTCGTGCATGTCCAGCCACCCGCCGGCACCGACCGTCCCACCGTCGCAGCGCACCAGCGACGACGCGACAGACCCCTCGACGCCCACGAAGCGCAGCACTGAATCAAACACCGCGAGGCGCTCGCCAAGCACAAAGCCACCGCCGCTGCTCACAACCGACACGTTCGTCACGGAGAACACCGAGTGGCTCCGCAAACTGAGACGCGACGAGGACGCCACATGCATCGCGGATGCGGTCGGACCGCCCGACGCCTCCAGCAACACGCCGTCAAGCACCACCGCGCTCGACAGCAGGTCCACACCGCCGCCAACGTACACCGCCGACCCGCCCGCGTGCAACGACCTCAGCACAGTGTTGCTCACACGCAGCTGTGTCTGCAACAGCGACGTCGCGTACAGCACAAGCGGTGACGCCACCGCGTCCGTCAGCCCGCTCAGCTGGGAGTAGCGCATCGGCCCCGGCGTCACAATTGTCGAGTCACGGACCGTCACGTTTGTGTGTTCCGGCAGGTTGTCCACAAACACAAGCGAGCAGTAGCTCCCGGACAGCCCGCTCACGCTCACCTCCAGGCTCCGGTCACTCGCCGCCTCGCCGCTGTAGCCCCGCACGTAGATCTGCGCACCGCCGTCGCACACGCAGTTCCTCAATTCGATGCGCAGCGCGCCGGGAAGCATCGCCGCAACGTCGAACACCACAGCCACGCCGTTCGTGATGGACACGCCGTCCATCAGCACCGTGTCCACGGCGCGGCCAACCGTGATGGCTCTCTCCACCGTGCCGCCCCGCAGTCGCAACACAACCGCATGCACCGCGGGCATACACGCAGCAGCAGCAGCCACCGCCAACGCCGCAAGCAGCGCCACACGCACAGCCGCAATGGCCCTGCGCCGCACGCGGTGCCGGCTGCGCGGACACGCACCCTCCGCAGACCACATCCCTAACCCAATCAGGTATCAACAGGGCTGTCGTGGTGTGTCGCACTCGCCCCGTCGACCGTAACTCCCGTCTATCAAATCCTTTTCTACAGATGGCAAATCCAGATACACAATCCGCCAAATCGTTATCCACTACTACTGCTAATCCTACAGCAAGTAATCCCTAACACCTTGAAACGATGGTTGTGCTGTTCAAACCAAAGTATCTCTAATTGCACAGTCAGAAAAGGAAGAGGCAGCAACAACAGCAAATAAACAAAGGGGCACGCAGAGAGGCATCCGTCCACAGACAGTCTCCATCACAGCACAACCACCGACACAAAGGCGCGGAGATGCAAACACTTCAGTGACACCATCGCTCTCCCCTCATCGGCCAGCACCGCTCAAAATCGCGCCGTGGATTGGTTTTGAAGTAACAGCAATTGTGCAGTATACACGGAACAGCATCGAAATTTCATTCTAAAACTGCCCAAACGTATGTACTCCGCATCGGCTGCCAAAAAAAAAAAAAGGACTACGGAAGGGTATTGCTCCACTCATCCTCCTCCTGACCAAGGCAAACCCTTCATATCCTCTCCCTCTCCACGGCCTGAAAGCCGCAAAAGGCCGTCAAGAAAAAACACGTCTGTGGATGGCCCGGATTTGCGGGCGGGTCGGCAGCCACCCACGCTCGCTCCCTCACACATCTCTTCTCCCCCCACTCGCACACACACAAGGGCGCTGTCATGGGGAAGAGAAGTCCGCCGCTCAGCGCATGCAAGAAGACACACGCAGAAGCCACGCCACCCACGTCGCACCGCAACAAAAAGCAATGCGCGCAGCACACACACAACCGCGACAAGAGGGAATAAGCGAATCCAAGTACATACCGCAGCCCTTTACTTGTCCCTTCCCCGACGGGTGGCGTCCTACACTCATGGAAAGGCACGGCGCACACCATCCGCTCCCCCGAGTGCACTCAGCAGGCCGGCGCCCAGTCACCCCCGTGCCATCGCAATGGGAAACACAAACAAATGTCGACGTCGCGGACCATCGGTGTCTCTAGCAGAAAAGAAGAAAAAGATATGAGGACATGTCAGCAGCACAGACGGCGGTAAGAAACATGAAACGGAAGCACTCAGTGACAGTAGGCACGGCAAAAACGGAAAGAAGCCGCAGGAATTTAAGAAATCAAAAAGAAAAAAAGGGTGAGAGTCCGTCATGACTCCTGGGAAACACAACCAAAAGAAAAATTGATTCGGTAGGAATTTCATGTGCCATGCAACACAAGACGATCGGGGGTGTATGCATATTCCCTGCACAAAAAAAAAAAGGTAATGAAAAAAAAAAGAAGTTATACTCTCCCACCAGCCCACACAACATCCCTTATATTCCATGCGGCGTCCGGCCTGCTCCTCCACTCCTCGTTTTCTGCAGTCCGCCGGACGCGCAGCAGTGACGCCGGCACCGCGAGTGGGCAACAAAAGGGAAACAAAAGTCAGAAACACGTCACTCATAACGGATTGTAGCAATCGAACATTAAAAAAAAAAGAAACTAAGTATTCGAAAAAACACCAAGAAAAACTGAAAAAGTGGGAAAAAAATTTTAAGAAGGGAAAAAAAACATTAAAGAAAAGCATCAAAAACCGCAAGAAAAGCGGCATTTATTCTCCGTGAGGAGTCGCAATTCAACACTCGTTGCCTCACAAGACTGCCACAGCTCCACACAGTCCCAGAAGAAGAAGCATCGACACCCGAGACACGCACACACGCGCAGTGCTGTTAACATTCCAATCACGCAGTATCAATTTCGCGTCGTTGAGCAGGGCGAGGCGGTCCTCTTGGCTCGCGCCGCTCCCGGATTCGGAGTGGTTATTTTCTGGAACAGGAGCCTCGCTTTGTTTGGGCAGCAATCCCTCACTTCCAGCCAGAGGCGCCATGCTTTCTTGTACTGGCTGCGCATCCCCATCTCCAGTGGTCTCCCTTGACTGCAGGGTTGCTGGGTTTGCTCCCTCCTCCGGCGCGGATTGTTCTTCCTCCCCCATCGAGCTTTCCACTTCCGTGGTGAAGAAATCCTCGCTGTACTTTTTCCCAAATCCACCTGCTCCTGCAACAGCGGCCGTAGGCAAATTGTTGTTTTTTGCCAGAGGCGGCTGGAGCTGCTTCCCTCTCACTGCCTGTTGGAGTGCTGGTATTGTTTCCCGCTTGGTGGTCGTGTGGCGCCACGGCAGCCTCGGCGTCTCCCTGTGGCAATGGCTTCAACTGAAAAGCAGCTGAGTCAACACCCTGTGATTCGGTGCAACGGCCGGATCCAATACTCTCTGCAACAGGGACGGGCGCCTCTGGTGAACTTTGTTTCAAGAATTCCGGGCGTACCGTCCTGCCCCACACCCTCTCTTTTGCCGTCCCACCGAGCCACGGGAAGGACACTGCCGCCGGTGGCGGATATTGTGCACAACTCCGCGTAGTTAGGGCAAATGACGCTTTCCTTATCGTAGGGTGGTGTGTCCCACGTAATCGTCGCCCCACCCGCGCATGGAGTCCAATCGACGTTACGCTTTTCGGGATCTTTCAGATGCACTTGCATGCCAAGACACTTCAGTTCCGCATGCATGGCAGCACTCAGATACGTCTCCTCCGGGTACCTCGCATCTGTCGTGTTGGTGGGAAGCGTGTCCAGACACCACGAAGAGGGCTTATCCCCAGGCCTCGCAGACAAATATTCTCCCTTCTTAAAAACAGCCTCAAGGTCCCTCACGTCCATCACGGGATCAATGATGGGGCAACTGTCCATTGGAGGCTTTTTTGACAATTCAACGATACTCGAATGGCACCAACCACGGGAATACCGATCCGACGCGCAGCGTTTGACACCATCGTCTCTGTTGCAGAACATGTGGGAATATTTACTCAGGTTCAGTTCGGAGCACCTCTTCTGCAGCAGCTCACAGCCCGACTTCCTGCCCCAACCCATCGGCTCCGCCATATCCCAGTTCACCTTGAAGTAGCCCAGGTCAGCAAATGCAGCCAGCGTCAGCTCCGTGTAGTAGCCGGCGCCCCCAATCGGTGCCATCAACTCATCCTTCGCGTGGCGCTGTGACCAGTGCGACTCCAGCGTCCTCCCGTCCCCCTCTTGATCTTGTAGCTCCATGCCATAAATGTCATCGCAGTCGTAGTGCTCCCTCGCTGCCATCGCGGCATTCGTCGAGTTCACCACCACCGACAGTGCCCTGCCACGCACACCGGAAC